ATAGACCCCCACGTTGAATGAATGTGAAATGCCAAATATATGTTCATTAACGAATGTGGTGTATGGTGAGTGCCACTGTTTATATAAAGTTAACAAGTACAGCCACTACAAAAACATATGTTAACATAAAACACGTGTCAAAGTTATACATTTATAATTCATGGGCAACTATTCACTATATATAGCATTCTACTATTTACTCGTATTTACCTTCAATTACATGGAATGTGAAATCCCAAGTGCAATGTTGATAGGCGGAGTTTAGAGCCCCTGAGAATACAGGCTCTACAAAAACACATGTTATCTGGAATGTACGTGCATCACCTTTTGGTGCTTGCAGAAAACGGTCAGTGCGAAAATTAATTACCACGAAGACTTAATGATCGAGTGAAAGCAATCGTTATTTCCTGGCCTATATGTAGATAAAGGAAACTATTATAAGTTGTTTATGTATACATGAAATGGGTTATGTATATTAGACAAATACATTTTTAGTTTTGAAATAAATCTGAAACGAAATGGTTTATCTAAACAAGATATTTTGACTGCTACAAAAATGGACATTCGGTCAACCATATCTCTCAATGGGCCCGATATACTCTTCATTCTCGATGTTTGATTTGAACATCAATTATCGCATGTTCTGCTTCAGAGTCCTTAAACTTTCTTTCAGAATATCCGAGATAAGCTTTGACCGCTGAATGACCGCAGCAGTAAGCACGTTTGATGTGAGATTGTGTTGAATCATCCGTTGTATTTTAATGAATTTCTCTTTTAAATACCATTATGCTATATCCCCTGACTTCTAATGTAATCAAGGTGAAGTTGGAGCAAATGAAACCTTGTGAAGCAAGATGGGGTGCATGTATGGTCATTAAGAGTGTGGCTCTGAGGTGGTTCACTCCCCTCCACAAGTTTGGCACTGACCTAAGCTCCCTCATTAAACTACGTGTTAAAGTGTCTTTATGTTTGAATTTTTATTTACATAACCTGTGAAGAAAACACTTATAATATTGATGGGAATGTAACTTAATCTCCAATGCCTCCAAAGTTTCCCTTTCTTCGATTACAAGAGGTCGAAAATTGATGATAAATCTTATGAATTTTTGAAATCGACATTCCCATGTAAACCAATGGGAAATGCATAGATTTGCAACAAGTGATAGGACAGAACATTCGTCCATCTGAAAAAAACTTCCCTATTGAAATAACACGGGAGGCGAAAAATGACTTTGAAGCTCTGTAACTTAAAGTAAACTGAACACTTAGCATACAAAAAAAGTTAGACGATTTTCAAAAATTCAGCTTTATCATCAATTTCCGACCTATTGTAATTGAGGGAAAAATTGAAAATTTGGAGGCATTGGAAATGAAGTAAAGTTACAGTCCCGTCAATATTATAAGTATTTTCTACACAGTTTGTGTAAATAAAAATTCAAACGTAGAGGCTTTAACACGTAGTTCAATGAGGAAGTTAGGGTTGCCAAACTTATGGAGGGGCCGTGTACCTTTGTAGAGACTTGTATCAAGTTGCAAAATACAAGTCCTCAGTTATCGAATAAGCTTTCAAATGATATATAACATATGAGGGTATGCTGCCTAAGTTTGATTTTCGATTGTGGATGGTCATTATCGAATATTAATAAACTGGACGTTTTGCTTTTCAATTCATAATGCGGGAAATTTTCTCTATCTTCCATGTAGTATTATAGCAAACGTTTCGAATCAAAGTCACATTCAATATGATTCAATTATAGAAACAGGCCGCCTTTTTACTACAATTCATAACAATAACAAATAATACATAACACATTTGATTGCTAATGGATTTCTTCTGTCTCAAATGAATTTTTGATTTAATTTTTCCTGTTAAAATTGATAAGGCTTGAAACCTCAGCTCCAGTGGGATTTCATCCGGGGGTTTCATCACCTTACATTTGTCGGATAATGAAAACCAAAAACATTAATCGACCGATGAAATCAAAATTAGTGCCGATCCCGTATCCATTTTTCGTCAAAGAGAGTTCACTTTTTATACTGAACAACTTTGGCCCAAAATCACTCGAAAAGTACTCATAATAGTGAAAAACTAGATCTCATTTCTCATTATATTTAATTCTATATGTTCAGAATGCACGAGAGAGGGTCTAAATTGGAAAATTTCTGGAGCATGCCCCTCGATCCACGCATGACCCATTCATATACAAAAATCACCCCCTCCCTTGGCAAATCCTTCTGAAGCCCCTGGGTTTTGATCGAACCCCCGAACCCCCTCCCCCTGGCAACGGGCCCATGTAGTCTGTCAATATCAAATGTTTACTTCTTTGACAGAGACAGACGCAGACAACACTATCGAATTGATAGGGCTTGGTTTGAGAATATAATTCATATACACTTTTAATAATATTCGTTCTATAACGTTTTCATATGTTGCCTTGCATTCTAATTTACAAGTTCGTCGAGATATTAGCGATATGAGAATAAAAAGCGCAACATGTTACACTGCTGTTAATGGCTGAATCCTTTGTGCTTTGATGAAATGACGTGGTGACCTTCAATTTCAACATATATACGACTGTAAGTCATAATAATGTCTGAGACTATCATAAAATAACAATTATAAATAAGTTATTGGTGTATCTTTCAGGTTATTGGCCGTAAATTTACCTAAAGTCAGAGCGGATGAGGCTCAGTGAATCTTAAGGGATATCCCGGAGTGTGTTACATCGTATCTACTTACCGCCCTTACGGGTGTAATCCCTCGACCGCTGTTCTACCTGCGACTTGGAGCTATATGCCGAGCTTATTGCATTCGCAACAACGTCGTCTGTGCTGGATACACATTAAACCAAGCCAGGAAAACTATAAATTGGAAGCCTGTTAATATTACATCAGAACGTAATCAGGTTGTACCTAAGAAAGACTCGTGGCTCGCAGAAGGATTAAAAAACTGGTAAGTACGTTTTTAATGATTTCTTGAATTAATTCATTTAATAACTGTAGTAAAACAAAATAGACTTACAGTCCTAAGCATTTGATAATACTAAAGATGATTTTGATATTTGCAATGTACAAGTTATTATTAATTAGACAAATATTAAATCTGGTGAGGTCAATGGAGATTTTGGCTGAATATAGTACTTCTGTTTATATCACTTCTGTGTTTCTTTGGCCTCGTGCTTTTGAGTAAACATACACGTTAATTCTGAGCAGATATATCTGCTAAAAGCAATATTGATGATTTCGAACAACTTTCAATTGAATTATTCAATCCAGGGAGATCCCAGATTCTAACTTCATAGCAAATATATTTACCGGCACTGGCGAACACATTCTTGAATAGTGACACTCAAAGAAATGTGTTAGTTTGCGAGAAATAAGTTTTGATTCTTTTTTCCAGATTTGAAACCAGAACAGGTTTGCGGAGAGAAAAAAACAAATATTATCTTTGAGATAGGATAAATGTGTGTTCCCTGACCGACGTTATTGATATATAGCATATAGCTTCATTCTGTCTTCAACAGATGTCTAAATAATGTGAAGAGCTTTAGATGGAATGAGTTCTACGAAACATCATCAGAGTCTGTCATTAACCTTTCGTACTTGTTAATAACACTCCGAGACAAATTCTTTGGATTTATAGATAACGTTTATGATAAAAAATATAGCCTATAAATAGACAACGGAGAAGGAATAGCGAGGTTAAATAACGGTTATATCGGCCTACTTCAACTGCGCTTATGGAATTGAAAAGCAGAAATTCATTACGAGACAAACTATAATTCGCCGGGAGAATAACAACGTTGGGCAAATGAAACCAACGTGTCAATTGACGTGCCAATCCTAAATGTCCCGTAACGGGATTGCATATCAAGAGATGAATACTAACTTACCGATCAGACTGGATTAAAAGGATGTTCCACACGATAAATTATTTACTTCACCGTCTCGGAAGATAGAATTGAGAATCTATCAAGAACGGCGCGTTGATATTGGTGTATAGCTTTAATTGATGACATCGCGCACGATAAGTTCAGTTCAGTGCAGGAATTGCATATATCTAACTGCATTGCTTTGCGTAACAAACCATCGACCACTTTCTGATAGACAACACGGTGGCAGGACAAGATACTCGTAATTTCAACAAAGTAATATTAATAGTATTACAAAGAAGATAAATACACATTTCTGAGCTAGATTATGAAAATTTCTATTGATTTATTATAGGTGAGTTGTTTCAAGCCACAGCAAACAGCAAAAATATTTAGCAATATCGTATCGTATATTTAGTTTTACAAACGTCCATGACAGATAAGAAGAGCTGTGAGGTAAGCTGAACCTTGTGGATGATTTCGTCTCACTCAAGTGTTTAACGACAAACGGATATAAAATATCAGATGCAGAATATTGAAGATCCGAATCAGAAATATGAGACAGATCATTGTGATTATAAACTACGCTTTGAATACAAAGTATACCGTCAAACTCGATTGCTCGATAGAAAATCTCAACAATTCTAAATTTGCCTTTATTATCCATATACCACGTCGTGGGAATATCATCTAAATAAAATATCAGTTCAATATCAAGGCGACGGGTGGCAGATTCAATTTGTTTTATGGACTATAAAAACCAGTGGATGAATACGAAGATTGGTGACACATAATTATTATACATCCTTCATCCGTCTGGTAAGAGATTTACCTCATTTCAGCCGCTCTCGAGAATACTTCAACATCTGCAAAAAAGACATACAAGGATTTACTTTCCGAATCGGCAGCGGGGATTGTGACAATAGCGTTCATTATATCAGTGATAAAATATGTATTGTAATAACACAGGCTGCGAACTAGTACAATAGGTGTTTAATTAGTTGTAATAAAAATATGATGCTGTGACGTCAACTAAATCTAAATACCCAGTGGCAGCGTCGCAAAAATATAACTTTTTACAAGAAATGCGGATACTGTTAGAACTGTTGATGTTAGATTAACTATAATATGGCACAGGATGATCTGCAGGCGGCAATAAATAAAACTACAGTGGATATTTTAAGCGGCTACACCGGTGCTTACTCATTCGCCAACAGCTTAGACTCAAATCTTGATAACGGAAATATGGTACCAAATGTGTATGACATGAGTCTTGTTTCTAATAAAACAGATATGGCTATGGTCAATTCGTCGCTATCTGAATCGATGACAGAGAACATGACATGGGATACAATGCCAGTAGGTGAAGCTATTGTGTCTTCCTCTTTGCAAGGATTTTTCATATTTACAACAGTGTTCGGAAACATCCTCGTTGTGATGTCTGTATTCACGTACAAGCCTTTACGAAACGTCCAGAACTTTCTTATAGTCAGCCTCGCTTGCGCTGACATGTGTGTGGCGACCTTGGTTATGCCATTCAACGTGGTCTATAACATGTTAGGCTATTGGACATTCGGGATGGTATTCTGTCAGCTTTGGCTTACGATGGACGTGTTGTGCTGCACGGCATCTATTTTGAACTTATGCGCAATAGGCCTGGACCGTTACTGGGCTATTCATGATCCAATAAATTATGCACAAAAACGGACACTAGGAAGGGTTATGTTTATGATCTTGATGGTGTGGGGACTAAGTGGTATGATCGCCATCCCCCCGCTTGTTGGCTGGAATAATTGGCCAGACGTGCAAAATGAACGAATGATGATCTGTGCCCTTACAGATGAAAAGGGATATGTTATCTACTCTGCATCTGGATCGTTCTTCGTTCCTTTATTCATATTGTCTATTGTATATCTAAAAATATTTCTCGCTACACGCGAGCGGCTGCGAAAGCGAGCAATGGCTGGTGCTGCCATGAAAATCACAGCGGCCAGTATAGTAAACAATCACAACACTGAATGCAGCTCCTCTGAAAGCCCAGAGGAGACAAAAGACACACACGTTATTGCGGATGATAACAGCACCGCGTTATGTATAAATAAACGCAAATATGAACACCTTAAGGACAGTCCTAACAGGTGTCATAATGGGTCAACCCAAAAACTGAATCCTAAGCAATCGCCAAAAACCTTTCCCCAAAAGTCGAATTTACAAATACACAAATTCTTGGAAGAAAGGGCAAAAATATCTCTATCCAAAGAAAGACGTGCAGCTAGGACACTAGGTATTATCATGGGTGTATTCGTGCTCTGTTGGCTTCCCTTCTTCCTTATGTACGTAGTTTGTCCATTTTCAGGAGACCTTTGTATGAATTCAGACAAACGTTTTATTAACTTCATTGTATGGTTAGGGTATATTAATTCAACTCTTAATCCCATTATTTATACAATTTTTAACATTGACTTCAGAAAGGCTTTCAAGCGAATACTTTCTGGAAAATGTAATTTGCATAGATGAAAAATATCGTTTTTAATTATATTTTATTGAATTAATGCAATCAAAACAAACCTGAAATATATCGATGTAAATACATAATGCATTAGCTGGTCATAGAAAATGTAATCGTATCTAAAGTGCTTAAGGGGTATACTTAAGGGGTTATTTAGATAATAGCCTGCTAAATAAGGAGGTTGTAACTTTGCAATGATTGCTCTTTTTATCTCATCCTTCAAAGTATCATATGTTGCTTGAATATGTTTTTCACGGCTACCGTTTGAAGCAAACTCATTTTCCAAATACTTAACCAGTTAATGTGTATTGGCCATCCACTTATAAAGCGAATGTTTACTTTTTACTATTTTTGTTTTCATGGATATCACTGATCTAATAAATACTACGTGTAATTCTTTGCTAAGTTGCAAACCTTATGCTGTTCAAATAAAGCTTCAAAGAACATCATTCTCCAGATAAATCTGTGATCTTAAAGGCAGAATCTGATCTATATGTGGTCACAAAATTACAAGCAACATGTATAGTTGACCTACCAATCTATTCCTTACAATATCAAATACAATATCTCCTAAAAGATTCACAATATGTTATAAATTGGGGGAGTTATTGAAAATTCAAAGTGCAAAAATGACTGAAAAATGTTTGAATTCTCCCAAATAATAAGAATGGTACCCATTCTTATAGAAAAATAATACATTATTGTAAAAATCTTTAGTTTTCCTGGAATAAAGTATGCACTTTTGTGATTTTTAGAAAATAGACATGACAAGGAATGGCATGAAAAAAATATTCTAAAATTGAAACAGTTTTTGTTTAGCCTGCTCGCTTTATCTGATTCTCTCTTTAAACATCATTTATCAAACATATAACGATGATAAAGTTTCCATCTGCGGAACTTCCATCTAACATTGTTCATTGTCAAGAACAATCTATATCGAAATCACAATCGATCGTATGTATGAAGTCAATCAATTTTAAAAAATATATTTTTAATCTCATTCAAAGCTTTCATATTGTTATTGGCTATACGCCATTGAATTTCTGAAACATGCCAATGGGTGTTATCCTCCGATACATGGATCGAGAGGTGTTTGTTTTCATACTGAAGTTAGTAATTGTGATGCAGATGTGAATATCCTTGGGTGATAAAGTAAAATGATGTTCCAAATGGATGTGCCTGCTTCAACCCGATATTCAGCTTGTCAGTCATGATAATAAGAAGAGAATTCTTATTATATCACTGGAATTACCATAGTGCCGGTCTTCAAGAATCGTAGTCTCACGGGACAGTGAAAAATATACTACAGTGCTATTAGCATTCAAGATTGCTTTATCATTATCACATTATATTATCTGTAAATATGTACGTTAGGCTTCATAGGCCTCTGTCGCTTTGCGTAAATACTTCGCTATTCTGATAAATTAGTTAATATCATATGAACGACAGTTCAACGACAGTATTTGAGAGATATTGCATTTACAAATATAATTCTTAACTCAAAACACCAAACCATATTCAGTTCCCTGTACAATCAAAGCCATTGATGAGTCGAGCTGCCCAAAAAGTTTGAAATGTGTATCTGGCACCATATCCGCTTACATTGTGAAAAAGTAATTCCTAGTACGCCTAATTAAGGAGCTATAGTAACACAATGTAGTGCATCGATATTTGACCTAATATTTACATACCTACACATGTCCAGTACTGTTTTTTATTATAGCCGTTCAATAATCTTCGGACCGTTGGGCTGAATTATGCGTGTCATTAGCAGGGGTCAAAAATATTGGTAAAAACGAAATCCCCTTTTTACAATTTGGAGTACATACAGCTACAAAATATTATATAAAATGCATTTAATTTTGAGTGTATGTTTTAGGTTTCCCAACTATAAATTTGATGTTATTTTTCTTAGAAATACAAAAAATCACTTAATCAGCACATCAACAATTTGAATTATTTTTTCAATATTAGTGATGTAAATGGTATCAATGAATCATTTTTATATAAGAATGAAATATGCTAAAATTGTTGTTGATTTTCGAAAAATGGGGTTTAATACGTTTTGAGATATGAACTGTTACCGTCAGGGGTCAACTATCTATAAAGGGGGCGTATTGCTCTTCATTGACTTACTGTGGCTCACGCTAAAATTATTTTGCCCCTATTTAGATATTGCTGAGATGTAAAACAACCACCAAGACCTGGTCGAATTCATGAAGCTTTGAGAAAATATGCTTTTGATTTTCACTAAAAATCTGCTCATAACCATCAGTTGTGCCTAAAGAATATATTACCATCTGAAAATCTGATGATATGCAGCAGTAACGTCGAAAGAGAAATGTAAGGCGTTTGATTGCACAGATCTCTTATAAACTATTAGGCACTGCTCCCTCTGAATATATAAACGTTCTAATACCTCTATAACATTCAAATATATATATATATTTCACATATTTGTCGTTAACATGCTTTATTAATGTGTTTTATAAAACATAGGCAATTATTTCCTGTTTGACTCCTGGCAATGATAGCTGTAAATTCTTAAATAAAACTTTGAAATAATAAAAACCTAACATATTTGAAATTATAAATTCTTAAAAGAATTCACACAATTTTGTCGAATCTGCTTGACCAATATTCAAAAAATAAACAAAATTAAATGTATATCTATGTAATTACATTAATGAACCACTTGAAATTAGAATGAAATTAGAATTAATTCCAACATAATGATAATCCAATTTATTGCAAATATGCTACAATTACTTATAAAGTCTTATAGTCTTATATGTAGAAACTTGTAATGAGAGGCATATTTCGAACCAAAAGACCGGAGTTTTTTCAGCAAACGGCATTCTAAAGGAATCAAGACATATGGACCTCCTTAAATATTGGTCCAAATGTTGCTGCACTATATTGTGTTACGGATTCTTCATATTCCGGAGTCATACTATGGACTATAACTGAAACTAGAACATTTCAAAACACATCAAAGCTGTCTTATAAAAAATTACCTCATTGACTTCTCCAGAAACATCGAGACTCGAGAGCATATGTAAACTCCATCAATTCTCGAAATGACTTTTTGTTGGTTAATACAGAAAACTATAAAAAGTTGATATTTTAAAAGCGTTTGACAGGTATAAACTAACCAATTGAAACTGGTGTGTCGTGTGTGAAGTAACTCTCAGGTATGCGATGGTAGGCCATCATTTGTCGTGTTCCGATAAACTTGTTGATTTTTGTTCCTTCCCAGCTTAAGACAATCCATATTTTGAATGTAACTGAAGATTTGTTCCATAAATGATCTGATATCATCCCTACTTTCAAAGGAAATCTATATATATTCTATGTTACTTCTCAAGTTTGTAATTTTGGTCTCTTTAGAATGATGGTAGGTACTTCATATTTTCTCAGGGTATAAGCAAGAAGCAAGTTACTTTGCCCTATCTACAACAATCTCCAATACATGTAATTTGTATACGAGCCCCATCAAGGCGTAATATATCTGAATAGCACAGGTTTTAATGCAGTGTTTTCATAGGAAACATCATTATTATTAAACTTAAATGATTATGTACTCGTTTATTTAGTTGAATCAAATTACTGTATTGTTATGATATGATCAACGCAATATACAGGTTGACAAATAAGTCACATCCAATGCTACACCTAAATCCTTAATATATCGTAACTAGTGTGATAGACTATTAGAAATGTCATCCAAAGTTACACTAACGTTAACGTCTTTCAAGTATTATGAATGAACTTTACGACGTCATTTAATAGGTAGTGTGTCCTTCCCAGCAGCTTTTATTGCGTCAAAATGAGAAGGATATGCCCTCAGCAATACTTTAAAATGTTTTTCACATTCTTGTTGCAAAAACTCTTCACCACCATCCCCGACCCTTTATTTTCTACACATCTAACCCTATCTTCAACTTGGTTGAATTCACTGCCAAAAACATATGTTGTCAGTTTGAGCTCATTTGACTTTTCTGATGCCTGATTCTTAGAATCGAGTCAAATACACCAAATTGCCATCTGTGGTCAATTACTTGACGGTTATCAGACATATGCTAATCAAGGCAACTTTGGACGATCTTTCCAATGATATATCACACTTGGTACCATATATCTTGGTTTTAGCTGTAGAGTGGGAGCGTGGCTTATACTTAAAATTATATATATGTTAGTCAATGTAAACTTTTAACATGCGGCTATTTTTAATCGCAAAAGAAGGCCAAGATGTCAAGATGTAAAAAATACCAGACCTAAAGTTCAAGTGAATATAGGTTCTTGACCGTTCTCAATGTCAGTGCCCTGAAGGGAGTAATAGATTCGGATGACCTCATAACTATCTTATAATGGGTATATTATATCCAGCAGCGATTCTAACATAAATGTTTTCTTAGAAAAATATATCCACTGATTTATCAAAAATTCATATTTCTGATTGGTCAGATACAGTCATGTGACTCTCTGGAATGTGGTGATTCAAGATGGGACGCATTGGTATCCTCCATTAAGGGACCAATATGCGAGAAATCCCCCGGCAAGATATATCTTATTCATCATTGGTTGAAATTGAAAAAACACTTGCAAAATAATTGATTAACCACGAATGATCTATTTACACAGGTTTACTTTTTAGTTTTTATTGAATGCATAATGTTTGATAATATGGATGATATTCTTATGTGATAGTTTTATTTATGTGCATGAACAATGGACATGTATCTGCTCCTATAATATGATATGTATTTAACTAGATATTAGGCGTTTGTATAACACCTATGGGATATTTATTTTTGCAGATATGGAATATATAAATTTAATTCGTGAGTAACTTTATCTCATGTATTATTTGCTGAACGCATATGCATATATATATATATTGTAATAGATATCATATGTAAGGTAAGATCATAATAGGAAGGGTGTTGGCAAATGTATAAAATGAATCGAACAGAAAGTGCCAATAAATATTTGATACAATATAAAAAATTCACTGTTGTTTAAATCTTGCTATTATATGCTATTATTAAGTTAAGGGGCAACATAAAATAAGAAATAGAAAAAAGTTGTTTGTTCTTGTCACAATTTTACAATTTTTGGTCATAGCATTCGTTGTCATGGGTACTTTTAATAGTTGATGGATTATGACGTTCTCTCACGAAAATGTATTTATTTTGAAGATTAATTGGTTAATGAACTACGGATATAGGATATATTCCCCTTACTTTCAATTCTAATGAATATATAATAAGATATGTTTCCAAATAATAAATTTCGGCTCGCAATGGATACATCTAAAAGGTAGTATGTATTTGAAAACATTGTATATTCTCTATCCATCAATTGCCACTTTAACTCTCAAATCCCAATTACAACCCCCCAAATATTACAAAATGGATAGAATGAACAGATATCCTGATTCTCTGGTACCGATTCCACTCCTTTAACTATTGGAGGGTCTCCAATATTGAATTTGTTTCCATATAAAAAAATTATAGTTAAAAGCATTTACTTCCGATTACAAATTATTAGGAGGCAATGATGTAAAATGTATCACGTCGATGACGTTAGAGTGATAATTCAACACGTCATGCAGCTGTCTTAACAGCTTTATTATGCTCCTGAGACAATCATCGAATAGAGGGATAAAACAAATCGATGTCCATATAACGTTTGTATTAAAGTCATGATGAGCATATGTTTCATGATTGAGATATCGAAAGAAAGCAAAATTCAAGATTACGTAGATCTGTGACACACGTGGAAATATTTAATATGATATCGAAGTTCATTCTGAAAACATTAGAGACGAATGAATCCAACTAAACAAGATAATTCAGTAGAAAAAATTAGAAAATACGAAGCCCAAATGATATGTAAAGAAAACTATTCCACTTTTTATAACCCTACTATCACACCAAACTAGTTCTCACTACGTTCTCGAAAACGGGCTTGAACTGTGTACGAACGGACTGGACGTACTTAGAACCGTTTGGGGTCTATTTACAAACTTCATCGAACGTACTGGAACGGGTAAGTCCTCTAGAACTTAGAACATGCTCAAAATGTTCTCGTGGTCGTCACGTTCTACAATTAGAATTCTTTTCTCCGAACCACGCCAGCAATGCGTACTCATTAGTAAATTAATGTTAATTTTACGTTTCTATTTGTATTTTTGCTATACTTGTCGTTTAGTAAAGTCAAAATATCACTTTCATCAACGTTTACAAAATGAAATGTCCGTCTACCGTGTTTTTCTGTCGTCATGAAACTTATCTTTCAAAAGTAGCGGTCAACAGTACCTAGTAGTGGTCAACAGTACACATATTGTTGACCGCTAATCAACCAATTAGAATCGAGTATTTCAGTTGAGGTACTAACG